TATTATCAAGAGAAAATGCGTAATTGTTTTTATTTTAATTTTTTTTGGGCTGTAAAAATGTCTAACAGCTATTGGGAATTGTATCTCTTTGCAATAAAAAAAAAGTTACATATTCAAGAATAAGGTTTTATTGAGATGTAATTGTAGGTAATTGTTCAAGTAAAGTGACTCAATTTGGGGCGACATGCATTCAAAGCAAAATTAAGGCCCGTTTAAAATGATTTAACACCTCCAGCACAATATGTCACTGAATTTAAGACTTTTTAAAGCCTAAAACTGAGGTTTTGACCACGTGGACAGCCTAAATAGGCTTGATTTATTGTCACCAAATTGTAAACCAACAAACACAAACAGGTCTTCCTGAAACACATCAACATCAGCCACTCAAAACATACATACATGTTAAAAAAAATAAGGTTTTATTGAGTTGTAGGCCTATTGTAGGTCATTGGATGGATGGCCGCCAAATTGTTTAGCTGTACTTGAACGAAGCAAAATTAAGACCCGTTTAAAACGATTTAACACCTCCAGCACAATACGTCAGTGAATTGAAGACTTTTTAAGGCCTACAATTTAGGTTTTGACATAATTAAACATTTTAAGCCCCAGCGGACACCCTAAATAACATTACATTTGACTTAATGTCACCAAATTGTAAACCGACAACCACACACAGGCCTTCCTGAAATACATCAACATCAGCCACTCAAAACGTGCATACATGATCGTGTTAATATTACAAAAATACATTTTGACTGAAATTAAAGCTCTACAAACTGCAATTCTGTCTTATATTCACGCGAATTCATCTAAACTGAGGTTTGTTTACATTTTTGCTAATGCTTATCTTAACTTAACGGTTATAAGTGCTCATTTTGATATCGTGCTTCAATTAAAGATCCGTACGTGTGTGAATTATGAACTATGAGTAGCTAAATGTGTTAACTTATCCAATAAATGTTGAGAGAATGCTATTAAAATATGAAGATGATGATAGTGAGCTAATGCTAAAGCTAATGTTAACTCACCTGCAGTGTTGACGTTGTCATTTCATCTCACGCGCCTGCGGGTTCCTATTATCGTTATTTCTTACTCAATTAAACTGTTCGTTAAATAACGAAAAATAAATATAACGGCTAAATTAAAGAACCTTCATTTAATGTAGTAGAAGTGAGCTTAGAAACGGAAGTCTTGCGTCTCCGCTGTTCACTTCTCTACTGTCCTCCGGAAACAGCTGAATTAATTAGTTCCAGGATAACATATAACGTAAAGACCATTTTTCAAAGCTGAGAAGAAAACAGTGTGTTTTGTAGCTACATAATGACATGTTTAATTAAATATTTACTTAATATACATTACAAAGACTGTAAGCTGATTTAATTAACATGTTTTTTATTAATATATATATATACTGTATATGGCATTTACATACAGACATAATGCATAGCTTCAGGTTACAGGCTTTAAAAGTTATAATACACGTACAAAAAAAAGAGCATATTTGCATTTGATTGTGAACTGCAAGCTGCCATGAATGAATTTTGGTTCCAACATTTTTCTCCTCAACATAAAGGACAAATCAAACATAAAACTCTGGAGGAATAAGGAAACGAGGCATGGGTTTATAAAGTACATTCATCGTCTGAAGCATTGGTCTCAAATCTCACTCACAAGTGCAATTCTTTAACCTACTCATGGGTTTTTAAAACAGTTAAGACAATGCATTGGTTCATCAGAAACATAAATGGAAATCATGTGACTGAACATAAAATCCACCATGGTGTGTGTGACAGGGGTGTGTGATATTACCGTAAATAAAATACAATTTCTTTTGATAATGATAATTAAACAATATTTTGTTGTGCATGTTTTTGTGGATGGTTTTACATCTGTTTTGGATAAATAAATGCAAAATAGAATCTCCAGTAGGTGGTGACAAGAGCCAATTTAAAGAAGCCGTTCATTGAATTACTCAAACGATTTGTTCAAAACAGCTGATTCATTCAGAAATGAAGCTTGTGACTGTTTTTTGATCGTTTTTGTTGTGGATTCAATAACTCAAAATAAGCCATTCTTTGAGTTACTCACTTAAACAGTTTGTTCGAAATAGCTGATTCATTTAGAAATGACTCTTTTTGATCGTTTTTTTGATTCAATTACTCAAATGATTCCTTCAGAAATTGATTCATTCAGGAACAAAACATCACATTGTTGTTTAACAAATATTTTCTAGGTGGTTGTCTAAATGAGCCATTTGTTGAATTACTCGTTCAAAACAGCCGATTCGTTCGAAAACTAAACAACAGTGTTGTTTTGAAAAAATAAATCTCAATGTTGTTTAGATTAAACAGTATGTTGTTGTGCATGTTTTTGTGGCTGGTTTTACGTCTGTCATAGATAAATGTGACATTAAAATCACCAGTAGGTGGCGACAAGAGCCAATCTAAACGAGCCATTTGTTGAATTACTCACTTAAATGATTTGTTCAAAACAGCTGACTCATCTATAAAGCATGTGGCTGTCTTTTAAATGAATCATTGATTCAGTGACTTCAATGATTTATTCAGAAATTTATTCATTTAGGGGGGAAAATGGCATTGTTGTTTTGACAAATATTTTCTACTTTGGTTTTGATTGGAACTTTTAATTAGCGAAAAAGTTAGATTTCTTTCGATAAACAGAATTAAACAATATTTTGATGTGCATGTTTTTGTTGCTGATTTAATGCCTGTTTTAGATTAATAAATGTGAGACTAAAACAACCAGTTTGTGTCAACAAGTGCCTGTTTAAACGAGCCATTCGCTGAATTACTCACTTGTTCATTCTCTTGTTCAAAATAGCCAATCCGTTTAGAAATGAAGAATTTAACTGTTTTTTAATGAATCATTGATTCAGTTACACAAATGATTCATTCAGAAATTGATTAATTAGGGAACAAAACAGTGTTGTTTTGAAAAAAAAAATCTCAATATTGTTAAGATTAAACAGTATTTTGACGAGCATGTTTTGTGGCTGGTTTTACGCCTGTCTTAGATAAATAAATGTTACACTAAAACCACCAGTAGGTGGCAACAAAAGCATGTTTTAATGAGCCATTTGTTGAATTACTTGTTCATTCACTTTTTCAAAACAGCTGATTTATTTGGAAATGAAGCATGTGACTCGTTTTCCATGAATCACTGATTCAGTTACTCAAATGATTCATTCAGAAATTGATTCATTCAAAAACAAACCATCAAACAGTGCCGTTTTGACAAAAATCTTCTACTTTGGTTTTGTTTAGAACACATTCAATAAGCGGAACAAAAAAAAAGGATGATATTGTTGTCTGAAGTGTCAAAACAATAAATGGCAATGATATTCAGTGAAACATTACACTTACTTGCGTATTATTATCAAATCATTACAGGAAATATTACTGGATCTCCTAACTTACAATCATTTTTGTTTAGTTTTTTTTGTTCTTTTTTTTTTATAGTGATTGACTTATTTAAAACGTTGACGATGAATATCACACACCCCGAACTCAAGAACAATCGCTAATTACAGCCAAGAGTCATCTGTCCTCTTATTGGACGCTTCAGAAGAAACCAAGTTCTCCTGGTCAGTAATACTTTCCTTTTTTTTGAAACATTACGGTATTGGTAAGTACAGTAGAGTGTAAAAGATTAAGGGCACTTAAAGCAGAGGCTGCATGTGCATTTGCTGTATTTAAAGTAAACCTCCCCATCTCAATAATGGTTAGATATTGCATCAGTAAAGCTTGTGCAGTGGTTATGAAGGAATGCTTGATCGTACAATCTCATTCATATACTGTTCCTATAAAAAGACATACTGCCGAAAATGTGCAATGAAGGAATGTCTTCAATACTGTGAAAGTCTTCTGCTATCCTACAATGTGAAATAATGTGCTCATGCATTAGATTCAACGCTAACATATTAACAAAGATTATACTGAAGCTATAAATGATTAGTGACAAACCATGCATCAAACAGTGCTAGTAATCGGACCAATGAATTTAAATCACTTTTTACAGCCGTGCATCAACAAAACGGCTTTAGATTGGTTATTATTTATGACTAAATGTACTTACAAAGGCTAGAAAATGTTCAATGGACTACAGAAATAATTAGTCCACAATTTCGTTAATTTCCTTCACATTTCCAGGCATGGAAATCAGAAAATTTCCTGATGTTTGCAGTTTATTTAAGTGACGGGATACTGATCTAATGCTGATTAAGCAGCAGTATGTTAATATACAGCAAAACAAATGAAAATAGAAATAGTTTGTTTTAAAAACATCAAGGCCTGGAGCTGGTTTGGTCAAACGAGAAATATGATGTGTGTAAAAAAACTTCCTATATTTATACTGATTTGAAAATCATCTCAGAAGTGAATGAATCAGGGTCAGAAATTAGCTTTAGTAGCAATTAAGTGGCAGTTTCTGCATTTTTTGACCAAAAATGAACTTTTTTTTTGTCTGTTTTGTCAAATATTTCAATGCAATCAATCGATTAATATAATAAAAACGGTTACCAACAACACCAAACATGTTGCAATTGTATATAAATGATACATTTAAAGGAGGAACTCATTATATAACATGGTTGTACTATTATGATACTATTATTATTTGGTTGATCAGCGCTCTTGATGTTGTAATAATGGTTATAAATGCTAAAAATACATCATACGGGGCATGAAGTTGACTTTTTATTGCATCATATGAATAAAAAATGCATTGTTTAGTCAAATATCTAATCAAAATGTTGTTATATTGAGTTTTCTTTTCTTTTTATCTGAAAACAACAATTGGTTTTCATTTGTTGTGACTGGAAACCACAGATCGTCCACAAAATATGGATTTTATTTGAACTATTATGAAAAACAAGCTTCCTTTTTGTTATTTTTTGCAAAAAAAATGCTCTAAATCACCTTTTTTATTTTAATTTTAGAGTCTATAAGACAAATCTCTTACATGGTTGTCGATTATGTGTCACTTTTGTTCGCATTGATGCCCTTTTTGTCACAAGACGCTTGTTGAATCCACCCTGAAATCAATCATATTCAAAACACTTACAGCTCAGAGAGGTTATGTTTGGTCGGCCGCATACAGGAATGCACTTAAAGCTTTGTTTTCTCCATATTCGCATATGCAGCAGTCTTAATGTTACTGCCACATTCACATACACACACTGTATATTCACTCAAGATGATAACACACATATGTAACAGTCTTTGCCATGCAATACACATTATAAACATAAACACAAGTGAGCTACGTGAAAAAAACTGAGATAATACAAGAATAAATGTTCATTTAGCAAAGCTTTAAGCCTGAAAAACATGTGAAAAGCTCTAGATGTGAAGGCACGACTGGTGTGTCCCTGATCTGAGGACAGTAAGATTGTGTTTAGAAAGACACACAAACACACATACGAACATATACACAAACAAACAGACACACAAATAAACACACATACACACTGTGTTGGTTAGAAGTGTAACTGTGAAACACTGCTGAAGTTGTGAATGAATGAGTGAAGGAAATCTCCATCATCTGCTGTGTGTGTGAGTGTGTGTGAGTGTGTGTGAGTGTGTGTTTTTTACGTCAGCAACCCCAATCGAGCCAGTTTGGCTGAGAGGAACGAATGAAGCACAAACACCACAGGCTTTGGTCCCGAATGAAGCTCAAACACCTACAAAACACATTACACACACACATTAGTGAAAACTGAATGGAGATCCTACACTGGCACTATTGATCACATCTTTTCTAAATAAACACACATTATTAAAGACTACACATGCTTTTATTCCACTAAAAATACATCAACACATCTCAGATGTTCTTGTGTTTATGATATTATTAAAGTGACATGTTTTATGTACACAGACTTTGAGATTAAAAGCTAAATTGTCCTTATTTCTAGCACTCGGTTATTAATGAAGCGTGTTTTTTATGACTATTTGAACAACAAAGCTCAAAAGGAGAGTATTCTTTTGAAATGTAAATCTTCTGTGAACATATAAACGTCATTACCTCCATATCTGTTTAAGGTGTCCATGCTGAATAAATGCACTGTTATTGTGTTTCACCGTAATTACTTCAAGTATGTGTGAATTGGTTTCTTGAGCAGCAAACCAGAACAATTTCTGAAGTGTCATGTGACTGGTAAACATTATTAGATTGCAGAGGCCATCGAATGCTTGATTTTGATTGGCTGATGAACTGTAAATAACGCTAGGTTCCACTCAATTTATTCATGATGTCCCGATACAAACCGATCAAGTTCATGTAACAAATTTAAGTTGACTGAACATGAAACAATGAAGTTGTCCCCAAAAAATCTCAAGAATTGTTGTTTCAGGTTATTATAAATGAACAAATAGCAAGAATAAGTTAGAGTGTGTGCCATTTATTTCAAATAAACACACTTATGAAGGTAGTTCAGGCAGGTTTTGGGCACATTATAGCTCCATATCCCTACGCTAAACAATATCAGTTATTTCACAGCTACAACAGTCAAATATTATATCAAAATGGATGAGATGTGTAGGAAACTAGCACAAACTAGGACAAAAACATGACAAATGTCTGAAATTTAGCCACCTCACTTTATTTTTTATTATTTTTAATTGAACAGCACATCATTAATTATTCATTATGAAGTCTACTGTAGAAAAAAATAGTGCTGTGCAAAAAACGCTTTCCTTATTTCAATTTCTCTGTCTTGATTTTAGTCAAAATATCTAAAAACTCTTAAATCAAGAAGCATTTTCTAGGCAAGCAAACCGTATTTTCTTGTTTTAAGAAATAATATGTAGAAAATTAGGTGAGTTTTTTTCTTAAAACAAGCAAAATAATCTGACAATGGGGTAAAAACAGTTTTTCCTTTTGACATAAAATGATTTCTCTCAGGCCATTGGCAGATTCTTTTGCTTGTATTAAACAAAACTCACTTAATTTTGACATATTTCTTACAACAAGACAAAAAAAAAGAAATTTTAGACATTTGGACTAAAATCAACACAAAAGAAATCTAAAGAAAGGCACTTTTTGCATTGTAGTCAACTATAAACTGGATCTCCTAACTGTGGATTTTAGGGTGATATGCATCAGAACTGCACGCGTGTTATAAAATCTTCATCGGGTAAAGATTGGATGTTGTCTGTTCATACCATCTCTCCTTCTGGAGCGCCGAAGTCTAGGAAGAGATTTCGGACTCCGTCGTCGGCAGACATCTTGAGCCGCTCGTAGGGGAAGTGGAAGAGCACAGAATCGCCAGACTCGCGCGTCACTGTGAATCCTCGCTCGTAGTGCAGGATCAGACGCACATTCTGCCTGTTCAACACACAGCCTGAGAGAGAGCGGGTCAAAATTATTAGCCTCCTTAAGTGATATTTATTTAATTGTCTACTAAACAAACCATCGTTATACAATGACATACATACATATATATATATATATATATATATATATAAAAATATATAAAAATATATATATATATATATATATATATATATATATATATATATATATATATATATATATATATATATATATATATATAAATATATATATATATATAAATATATATATATATATACATACATATATATATATACATACATATATATATATATATATATATAATATAATTGCCTATTTAACCTAACTTTACCCTAATTTACCTAGTTAAGCCTTTAAATGTCACTTTAAGCTGAATACTAGTGTCTTGAAGACTATCAAGGCAAATGTTATGTGCTTTCATCATGGCAAAGATAAAAGAAATCAGTTATTAGAAATGGGTTATTAAATCTATTATTTTCAGAAATGTGCTGAAAGAAATCTTCTTACCGTTCAGCAGAAACTGGGAAAAAAAATGTATACACTGGTCTAATTACAAACAACACACACACACCTATGGAAACCTCTTTGATGAGCTCTGCAGCTGAATGTCCGCCCTGCACCAGCGCTCGTGTCCATGTGGACAGATCCCAGTGCGTCTCCACACGGAACACATGAGACTCGATCCCTCGCCCGGTGCCGGTGCGCGTGGCGAACAGCAGATCTCCACCCAGAGCTGGAGAACTGCGCACACTGCCCGAGTGAACTAGCCTACACACACACACACACACACAACAGGGTATATAGAGGAATCAGACAGTGAAATTGAATACTTTTTAAAAGATGAGCTATTATGCAAATATCACTTTTACAAAGGGTTTAAACACAGTTGTGTATCAGCAGTGTATGAATATGAGCAGCTTCTAATGGTAAAAATGTATTAATTCTATTTATTAGAGTTACACTTCATAAAAACAGTCTGCAGAAACACTTTGATTGACATTCTCTCTTTGTATGTGTCATCAGAGGGGGAAAGCCCCTCCCACTAGTGACCATCTCTCCCTCATTAGCATAAAACGTTAGTCTTGTTTTTGAATCTGCCACTATGCTGACACATAGGCATCTGTAGCTCCTCCCTCTTTTAGAAAAAGAGCACAATCTCATTTGAATTTAAAGCAACAGTCACCAAAATGGATCAATGGGTGAGGGGGGCGAGTGCTTAAAAGCTCCCGTTTCCTTGTGCAAAACAACCGTGCCTGGAAACACAACTAGTGTGATTGTCTCTCTTTGAAATAGATTGGAAAAAAAGCGGTGCTCGTGCACCCACAGTCCTGCTGCTTTCAAGAGATGTCCAGATTTTTTGTAAGCAGCAGCGGTTGCCGCTTTCGCTTTAACCATACCTTGAACAGATTATTATTGGGCCTAACGCTAACTGTGTGCACGTGATCATCTTTTTACTCTTGCACACAGAATGTTTTCCACCTGCTTTCTTTTGCTTGCAGTTATTTTGGTAAATTAATTATCATCCTTTACAATAACATTGCTTTAATAGAAGATAACTCTCCTTTTATCTATAGTTACCGGGTGATCTGGGACGTTTAGCCCGGACAAATTACTGTGTATAGTTTTAGATAAATGAGAATATTTTTAATTGTTTTTTATTGAATAAAAGGTGTATGTATATCATTTTATTCGGCTTGTTTTGACACCTCATTTAAAATTTGTGGCACAAAGCTAAATAGTTTGGTGTGGCCAGAGAAAAGATTCTACATTAACAAGGAGGCATGCGGACATAACACAAAATGAATAAATTACTCATTTTTAGCATGCTAAAGTCAAATTTAATCATATAAAATGTATTTTCCCAACAACAAAATTGTGGCAACGTTGGAAAACTGCTAGCTACAGTGGCTGGTGATCAAAAAAGTTAATGTCAAGCCCTGCCCATGATATATGCTGAGAGAAAAGGGTTGAGTTTATTGCTATATCAGCAAAAACCTGATAAAATATACAAACATTTTATCAATATCACTTTTCTATAGCAGGTTTACAACAATACAAAGACATCACGCGCAATAAATAGTAGCTAAACATCTAAAACAGCTTTTTAAGGCTTACTTTTGATCAAAATTCTACCATTTTTGTGGGAAATATTTATTTTAAAGGGCACCTATTATGCAAAAATCACTTTAATAAGGGGTTTAAACACAGTTGTGTGTGAGACTGAGTGAATATAGCCAGCCACTTATGGTCAAAATTGATTAATTCCTTTGCTTATAATCAGACATGATGAAAACAGTCTGCAGAAACACTTTGATTGACATTCTCCCTTTGTATGATGTCATCAGAGGGAGAAAGCCCCGCCCACTAGCACCTGCAGCCGCATTTTTGTGCATTTATTTTGGTATTGAGAGGAAAAAGTAGACCATTTTTTATATGTAAATGAGCTCTCAGCAGAGTGAAGTAAACAGTGAAGAAGGGAAGGTAAACTGTTGAATGTTACCGTGTGGCGAGGAGCGGATGTGTTAATACAGGAGTCGTCCAGCTCTCATACGTCCATGGTACAGCCTGGAAGAGCAGGATATCTTTCTCTGTAAGTGCCATGATGACTCTTTTGTACTGATGCCGGCTGCCGTCCATATCGAGCTGCACGCAAACACATTCATGATCCACACAGCTAACACAAGATTTTTCTCAAATTATGCTGTTTATTACATTTTCCAAATTTATGCGCATCTTGGCGTCTCATCAAGCACTTTTATAGCAATAATCCAAAATGCACATGAAAAGAGGCGGAAGGAAACAGAGCTATTGAGTGCCCTATAAAGGGATAAAGTGCTGACTTGTATGGACGTACCTGCTCCACCAGCCAGCCGATGTGTTTGAGAGTGCAGTGAGTGTTGGCGTTGTTCAGGAAGGTGTTGATGTAGCTCAGGGTCTGTGGTAAAAGAGCCGCCACGTTGGTGTGAATGGCAGTGAACCAGGAGTGAGCAGTGGCTCCGTCTTTACAGCGCAGCACCACCGTGTGCTGACCGTCCGGAGAGTGAAGCTCCAACAACCTGCATCACAAAAACATGCAGCACCATAATACATGCATCTACACATTAATAATTAACTCCACATAAGAATATGTTTTTATATATTTATTTCACTATTACCAAATACTGTTAATATATTGAAATGATTAGAGCTGTAATGAAAAATCCTTAGAGATATCATTATTGATTATGAGCTTAGTTTTACCAGCAGGTGGTGCTGTACGCTTCACAAACAGCTGTAGTCTGCTTGCATGCAAATCTTTAAAAATACTACTCAAAGCTAAAATAATAATTAATAAAGTTAGGAAAGATTTAAGAAAAAATAAGCTTGCCTAGTGTGCCATCTGTGGTTAAAAAACTAGCCTGACTAGCCTAGAGCGCCATCTGTGGTGTAAAAAAAACTAGCCCTCCATATGTGGTTAAAAACTAGCGTAGAGTGCCATCTGTGGTAAAAAAAATTGCCTAGAGCACCGCCTGTGGTTAAAAAGACTAGCCCTCTATCTGTTATTAAAAAACTAGCCTAGAGCACTGTCTGTGGTTTAAAAATTAGCCTAGAGCACTGTCTGTGGTTAAAAAAAACTAGCCTAGAGCACTGTCTGTGGTTAAAAACAAAACACTAGCCTAGCCTAGAGCACCGTCTGTGGTTAGAAACAAAACACTAGCCTAGCCTAGAGCACCGTCTGTGGTTAAAAACAAAACACTAGCCTAGCCTAGAGCACCGTCTGTGGTTAAAAACAAAACACTAGCCTAGCCTAGAGCACCGTCTGTGGTTAAAAACAAAACACTAGCCTAGCCTAGAGCACCGTCTGTGGTTAAAAACAAAACACTAGCCTAAAGCACTGTTTGTGGTTTAAAAACTAGCCTAGTGCTTTGTCTGTGGTTAAAAAAACTAGCCTAGCCTAGAGCACTGTCTGTGGTTAAAAACAAAACACTAGCCTAGAGCACTGTCTGTGGTTAAAAACAAAACACTAGCCTAGCCTAGAGCACCGTCTGTGGTTAAAAACAAAACACTAGCCTAGCCTAGAGCTTCGTCTGTGGTTAAAAACAAAACACTAGCCTAGCCTAAAGCACTGTTTGTGGTTTAAAAACTAGCCTAGTGCTTTGTCTGTGGTTAAAAAAACTAGCCTAGCCTAGAGCACTGTCTGTGGTTAAAAACAAAACACTAGCCTAGCCTAGATCACTGTCTGTGGTTAAAAACAACTCAATAGCCTAGAGCACTGTCTGTGGTTAAAAACAAAACACTAGCCTAGCCTAGAGCACCGTCTGTGGTTAAAAACAAAACACTAGCCTAGCCTAGAGCACCGTCTGTGGTTAAAAACAAAACACTAGCCTAGCCTAAAGCACTGTTTGTGGTCTAAAAACTAGCCTAGTGCTTTGTCTGTGGTTAAAAAAAACTAGCCTAGCCTAGAGCACTGTCTGTGGTTAAAAACAAACCACACATAGCCTATAGCGCTGTCTGTTGTTGAGAAATAACGTAGAGCACCATCCGTGATTAAAAACTAGCCTAAAGCACCATCTCTGGTTTACAACTAGCCTAGAGCACCATGCTTGGTTAAAACAAGAGTGCTACCTGCTGTTAAAAAATTGCTCAAAATTAATTGAAGAAAGACTCATTTTGAGAATGTCAGAATTGATGCAGAATCGATTTCTTTGCCAATATGACTGTCAACAATGTCATCTGACTACATTTATCTCTTGCTCACAAAAGCTGTATTTATTTGATCAAGTACACGTCGTCAGTGAAATTTGTCATCAAATAAACAGCCTTGGTAAGCAAAAGAGACATTAAAATCATTAAATATCATAAGTTTTGACTCTCAGTGTAATCCAAACATAGTTTCTGTCTTCACAGTAGAATTAAAGTCAAGCTCAATAACACAGAGCTGCTTCTGAGATCTGGGACTCACCTGTTCTCCGGGTCAGGCATGGTGAGGTTTCGGCTGATGAAGCTCATTTTGAGCGGGATGACCTTTCTGTCTCGGCTGACGCTGCTCTTGGGGGATTCATCACTGCTGCTGAGGTTTGGAGACTGCAGACGGCCATCCCAGGACAAATCTGCACTCATGGAGGACTTCTTGAAGAGCGGAGACACTTCTCTGATGTACTTCACTGCACACACAGCACAAGTGGTCTTAAGCGGAGTCAAAACAGACCATCATTTTTAATGATTTGAATGAAGTGATAGTTCAACTAAAAATGTAAATTCACTCACTATTCACTCTGCCTCAAGTTTTTAGAAACCTTTATGAGTTTCTTTCACTGCTATTAAAGCACTATTAGCTTAGCATAGATCATTGAATCGGATTAGACCATTAGCATCTCACTCACATATTTTCCTATTTGAAGCCAGACTCTTTTGTAGTTACATCGTCTATTAAGACAAAAGGAAAATGAAAAGTGGCTATTCCCTCATTCTCGCTATAATAATCAAGGAAATTTGTTGCTGTATCACAGCTGCAGCAGGAGCAACGCTATTAGGTACTGCCCGAAAACCAACGTGATCAGCAACTTGCACATGTACCTTGCGAACATGGAGACATGTGTAAGATAATTGTGAACACATTTACTTTGGTGCAGATCTATTTGAAGCAAAATACATGAACGTTTGCTGCGATATATTGCACAACCCTACAGAACACAACACATCAAACCTTGAAGCTGATGAGCTACAGCAGCAGAAAAGAAGAGACTCGCTAAAAGTGGACACTAGGGCTCCGTTTACACTAATGCGTTTTCGTTTTAAAACGCATAAGTTTTGCTACGGTTACGCCATCCGCCCACACTACGGCGGAGTTCTCGAGCGGCAAAAACGGAGCGTTTTGAAAATGCTGGAGAGGCTGTTTTCATACTGACACACTGCTGCAATGTCTCGGTGTGGATGAGGAAAAACGGAGACATCTGAAAACGGAGGCGGGACCGCTGAGATTCGCTCCCTGATTGGGGCTTTTGTGTCATTAGCTGCGTCCCAAATCGCATACTTATGCACTATTCTACGCCATTTTGTAGTATAAATAGTGTAAGTAGTGTGTTCACACTGAAAACTCTTAAAATAATAAGTGCACTTTAATTACCCGGATGATGCCCTCATTCAGCCGCTAAAATGAAGTGTGGAATGATGGACACTTCACGCACTCAACGACCGCAGGTTTGCTTACGTATCGGAAGGGGCGGAGCTTTCGAGCGCACATGTTGGATAACTGTATTTATTTTGGATGGAGAAAGCAAAATTCTCCTACGAGAGTGATTATAGCGCCTCCCGATGGTGAATGCGGCAATACTCACGGCAGGTTTTATTTGATAATTCGTTCGTTTATTTCACTGATTTGGCAACCGTCAAACGTCATCAGGGAAACGGTTTGAATTTCCGTTTAGTAAAAAAACATTAGTGTGCCATTTGGGACAACACTACATACATGTACTATCCTGTTGAGTGTGTAAGTGCATAAGTACATAGTGCATGAGTGCATAGTGTATAGTGTGCCATTTGGGACGCAGCTATTGCGTATCCTTCCCTTATTCGTCAAGCCCCTATCACATGACTATAACACATGGCTTTAACGCTACCGGAAGACAGCAGACCAGCCTTCACTGTCATCAACAACATGGACACAGAAATGGGAGCGTTGTTTGCACTATTGTCTGTTTTAGGCGCCATTCTGCAGTTATTCATTTGTTACGTTTAGTAACAACTCGACCTCGTCGTCTGTCCACAAAAATACCTCTCTTGCTTTCTTTGCCATCGCGTTTAATGTTCAACCGGCGTTTGTTGACTAACAATAACCAAATGCCGAGCGAGACGCATGCTTTCTCTTTATACTAGAACGTGCATGCCCAGAGTGCGCGAATGGTCACGTGATATACGTTTTTGGTGGCGTAGTGTGGACGGAGATGTGTTCGGAGACGCTAGGTGAAACGCTAGTGTGGACGCGGATCGTTTTTGATCTAAAACGCCGTTTTAAAACTAAAGCGCACTAGTGTAAACGGGGCCTAAAAGACTAAAAAGGTTGTCTGGTCTTATGAGTCTTGATTTAAAATGAAACATTTGGATTGTGAGGTCAGAATTTGATGTAAAAAAAAAAACTTGTAAGAATGGCTGTGCTTTTAATATTAGCCTACGTTATTAATGTATAAAAGAAATCAATATAAAGAAAACACTTGGTGCTTTATATCTAGTCAAATGTATTGATGAAGGTATGTGAGTTCTTAGTTACTCAAAAGCTTGATGTCTAACAGGAAGTCCACCAAAAGGAAGTAACACCACCAGAATCACTGATCTAAATATGTACTTGAATTCCAATAATATACTTAGATGTTTTAAAATAGACTAAGCTAAATGTCACAGAACTGTAAACCGTTGCAAAATGTATGTAGAAGAGAAAGTACAACATTGTTTCTTAATAACCAGCTTGAGTAAAACACTTAGCTGGGCCAGAGTCATGTCAGGAATTCAGTTTGGGCTGGACGGATGAATGTGTGCCAGTATTTGCAGGACTGCAATAATAAATGCACTCGTACTTTTGCAATTATGGCAGCAGTATTTAGGTCACTGATGAAAAAAAAGGGGGTTTCAAGCATCGATACAACAAATGGGTTTTAACTTTAGTTATCTTTCCAGAATATATAGAATATAACATTCTAAAATGCTCATTACAGTTATTTGAAATATTAAGAGTAGACTCTTTAATTTGGCTTCTAGCTAATCTGTATATTTTAAAAAAACACTTTTAATTTTCAGTGTTAAGTCTCTTAGAGTTAAACAGTTGCCCTTTTTGTAATCCATTTAACTCAGGGCTCACCAATCTTGGTCCTGGAGGGCCGGTGTCCTGCAGATTTTTTGCTTCAACCCTAATCAAACACACCTGAACAAGCTAATCAATGTCTTACTAGGTATACTTGAAACATCCAGGCAGGTGTGTTGAGGCAAGTTGGAGCTAAACCCTGCAGGGACAAGTTTGGTGACCACTGATTTAACTGGTCTCAGGGTCAGGGGGGAGTACTATTAGCTTAGCTTAGCATAAATCATTGAATCGGATTAGACCATTAGCATCTCGCTTAAAATACATCCAAAAAGATTCAATAATTTTCCTATATAAAGCTGGACTCTTCTAAAGTTATATCATTATTCTAACCCTTGTTCTGAAATATATATATATATATATATATATATATATATATATATATATATATATATATATATATATATTAAAAGTAGACACTTTAATATGCCTCAGTTTCAAATATATCAATAAAAAACACTTAATTTAATTTTACGCAGATGCCAAAATGGGATATTTAGTCTCTGACCCACATATAACAGCTAATTTGAAGTCAAAATAACAATATTGTAATGTTATCTAATAAAATTTCATATACAGTTGAAGTCAGAATTATTATCCGTCAGAATAATATTATCTGTTAGAAGTCAGAATATATATACAGTTGAAGTCAGAATTATTAGCCCCCCTGAATTATTAGCACCCCTGTTTATTTTTTCCCCCAATTTCTGTTCTGTTCTGGGAAGATTGTTTCAGCACATTTCTAAGCATAATATTTTTAAAAACTTATTTCTAATAATTTCTAATTTATCTTTTCCATGATGACAGTAAATAATATTTTACTAGATATTTTTCAAGACACTTCTATACAGCTTAAAGTGACATTTAAAGGCTTAACTAGGTTAATAAGGTGAACTAGACAGGTTAGGGTAATTAGGCAAGTTATTGTACAATGATGGTTTGTTTTGTAGATTATCGAAAAAAATTAGCTTAAAAGGGCTAATAATTTTGACCTTAAAATAGTGTTTAAAAAAATTAATAAATGCTTTTGTTCTAGCCCAAATAAAACAAATAAGACTTACTCCAGAAGAAAAAATATTATCAGACATACTGTGAAAATTTCATTGCTCTGTTAAAAATCATTTGGGAAATATTTTAAAAAGAAAATTAAAATTAAAAGGGGGCTAATAATTCTGACTTCAACTGTATATATATAAAATTAAATATATTATTATTAAAAAAGATATATTATCTTTTTTAAATATTTCCCAAATGAGGTTTAACAGAGCAAGGAAATTTTCACAGTATGTCTGATAATATTTTTTCTTCTGCAGAAAGTCTTATTTGTTTTTTTTCGGCTAGAATAAAAGCTGTTTTTCATTTTTTAAAAGCAATTTTACCGTCAATATTATTTGCCCCTTTAAGCTATACATTTTCTATAGTCTAGAGAGCAAACCATCATTATACAATAACTTGTCTAATTACTCTAACCTGCCTAGTTAACCTAATTACCCTGGTTAAGCATTATAGAAGTGTCTTGAAGAATATCTAGTCAAATATTATTTATTTACTGTAATTATGACAAAAATAAAATAAATCCATTATTAGAGATGAGTTATTAAAACTATTATGATTAAAAATGTGTTGAAGGAATCTTCTCTCCCTTAAACAAATAAGGTACAGGGGGCTAATAATTCAGGGGGGCTAATACTTCTGACTTCTACTGTATATACTGCACGCCTTTCTTCGAGTAAACATGAAATGATAATCCATCTCTGCGACTTTAAACAACACAAGTGTGTAGGCGACAGAAAGTACACACAGTAATCCATACGAGCTACAAAACCATCGCTTCCAGCTACAAGAGAGTCAAGTTTACACTCATCACACACAAGAACAATGTAAAGCTCATGCAAGCAGTAATGCAGAAGCACAGAGGATCATCACCTTTCATCAAAACATGTTTAGGTCATATTTCATCACGCCTTTAAACGGTTGTGTCTAATCTACGCTTACATTTAGCAAAAAATCCTGACAAGTAAAAGTAGCACTTCACATCATCAGAACGAGTGGTTGCTTTTCCCCACAAAGGGCTGCTTATAAAGTGTCTGGTGCGCATAGAGAGGAAAAGGGCTCGCAGAAATAATCATTTATAATTTATAGAACAGGTCACATGGTATTTTAAAGTGCATTAATATTGTGCTGGAGTCTCCTACAAATACTGTAAATTGTATTTATATAATGCTTGCACCGCACTAATAATGTGAGAGTATGTGATTGGCCAAGGACAGAAAATAAGTAAATAACCTATATTCAAGTATACAGATGTGGGTT